GATCAAACATCATAATATATTCACTAATAAAGTGGCACGTAAAAAGACTCCTCACCCTTACCTCTAACACCACCACTCACATCCCCGTAACTGTTGTACTGACCAAAATCTGTAGACACTGGCTGTAACAGGAAAAGAGGGACATAAATTCACAGTTCATGACTTCACAAGCAGGTTGGTATATGGGGAGTAACAAATTGCTTTAAGCCTTTTTTTCCCCCCTCAATTTTGACATTTCTTGCATTGCTTTCTTGTCTTTTAACAACGTAGTTTGTGGGAAGGGAAATTAGGTTTTGTCTGACTTCAGATGGTCTTACAAGAAAGCTTGATCAAATTGAAAATCCAATACAGTTAATACAGAAATAAATACCATGGATAATTAAAGCCACCTTTCACTTCTCAAAATTGCCATCTCCTTACCCTGTGAAGACCATTTTTTCCATAGCCAGGGAGAGAAGAGGTTTTGGAGGCTGAAGCATGTGCTGTTGAATGAGGAAGGCAAAAATCTTTTACTGGAAAAATTCCATGGAAATTCAAAACCAAGAACATTTGAGGAATCAACTAGCACAAAAAAACACAGTTAAAAGAGCTAAGCATATACATAACCAACTGAGACACACTGACTTTTAGAAACCAACCTCTCAACCCCAGTGCCATCACAACCTTCCATACACTCTGTAAGTTACACGCAGCTTTATCATGCCATGGCGGCAGGTCATCAAGGGACACTGTGATTTTGCCAGGCTCAAAATCAAAGTTGTCTCCACTGAGTTGAAAGTAGTGCTCAAGAATCAGACAACAGAGGAAAGCAACTTTTTAGTCCTTTGATAGATAAAGTATTGCTGTGCACCTTATGATGGGATCAAGATAAAGGACAAGGAGAATCCAAGATCAGCAGTGTTTGATTGGATAGGTTCCCTGTTGAGTCTCCCATGCAGGTTCATTCAATTCCACTCTCCTAAGTGGCATATATGGTTTATATATCATCATACCCTCTGAGTCTTTCACTAATTTCCTTTCTATCCTTCCTACAACTATTACTGCACTCATGCTCCCAGCTTCTGCTGCTGCACAAACCAAGACACATGACCAGCACACTCCATTCTCTCTGTATTCACATGCTTCAGCTTGGTGTTCTTGCTACAAAGGAGAAAAGGTTATTAGTTTTGGTTCTGTAACACTGTAATTGACAGATGTTTCGGTAATGACTTCACCAGAGGAACAATCAGAATGGGCAGTGCTGAGTGAATTCAAACAAGTGTGAGAATTTGGCATTCTGATCCAAAATTATTGTTATCCTGTACATGATGGGACACTTCTGAGAACATGAAACGATCCAACAGACCTCTGTGACTTCTGCTTTCATATGAAATGGAAGTGAAACAAGGTATCTGGGAGCATTCAACTTAGCATTTGCACTGACCTCAGAAATGGCACCAGCAAGATAAAGACAATGTGGAAATGTCAAGGGTATGTTTTCAAATACAGATAAAAAGACGGGTAAGTAGAAAGATTGTCAGCATAATGATCAACAGCATCCCTACAGTTAATATAGCCCCTTCAGACAAGATCGTCCATATAAGAATGAAATTTTTTGTTTTTTGTTTTTTATTTTTTTTTTAAATGCTATTTTTATCACAGAAGGGCAGGGAATGTAGAACTTGAGGCACTGTTGTTGCCAGCAACGAGCAGCTGTGGGAAAGGTACTACTGATTCCACAAAAGGCAACTGATGAATGCACTGATTATCACTGCAAAGAGGGATGAACACATCTCCAATAATGGAGTCTTCCAACCTGTGCTAAGGTTAATAAAAAAATCATAAGCTTTGAGTTCCGCAGGTAGGCTCTGGCCCTGTAAACATTACAGGTAGTGAGGGAGAGCCACAGACATTTTCTCCAAGACAATAAACAGAGGCAATACACATGCAACAGGGAACACGAGGAAATCTTAGTTTGCTGGGCAGCTACTCCACTGGCTGACTCCAAAGAGACTCATCCTTATTATTCACTGTTCAGTATTAACTTTATTGTCTACATGAATTACCTGGAGAATCGTAACGACTGGCAGAAAGGGCTGACCTATCCCGACTCTCCTTTTCCATCTCTTCTTTCAATATCAATTGTCCCAGACCAGAGTTGAGCTATAAATAGCAATTAAAAAAAAGTATCAATAAAATAAAGCTGATCAAGGCATTAGTAGAAATCGCTCACAGAAAACAAATGGGCACTTTTTGGATGGTGCTCAGAAACAGCATGAAGACAAGCTTATAACCACCTTCATGAGCTGCTCCTCTTGCAGCTGCCGGCGTCTCTGTAGCTCCTCATCATCTTCCTCTCTTCCACTTGATCTGCGTCTCATGTCAGCTCCTGCTTCCATAAAACCACAGTACAGAGAAGACTTTGTGTATTGGTTCAACTGCTGCTTGAAGATTTCAATGCCAGTTCAAAGTACTGGTCACTTTGATTTACTGAATAAACAAAGCAGACTCAAAAGACTTTCTAAACTCACTCAGACAGCCTGTCCTATGGCTATCAGGCTTTTTATAAAATCAACAAGAAGTTAAACTGCATGTGAGTTCCAAACCAAGCAACAGTCCTGGATACAAAAGCCAGGAATCAATGATATAGAAAAAAGGAGCTCAGATTGCTAGTTCTGGAAATGGGTTTAATGGCACCAGTGGCAGTGGCTGAAAAGGTAAAGTCTAATTTAGGGTTTATACTTTTGTCTGGACTCAGAAAAACGAATCTGAATTAACATTTCAAATGGAAAATTAAACTACATTAATCTCTTAAAGGGACACTCCTATTTGGAATAAACAAAGCATTATTTTTAGCCTCAAATGAAACAAACTAATTCGATCCATTAGATAAAGCTAAAATTCATTAAGACATAACTGTTCCACATTTTAGTTCCTTACTTTCTATTGAATAATCTTTATTTTCTTGAATATTCTTAAGAAATAGTCCAATTTGGACACCAAGACACTTCCATGAATACACGAATTATGATATTGCTGCAAGCATTTAAACAGCAGTTGTATTTTTTTCTGCACAGGCTATACCCTGACACAGCTATTCACCAGCCCTATTCTAGACCAACTCAGTGGTTTATCTGAATAAGAACTAAATTTTGCAACTAAGGTATCAAAAGGTTTATATCAATTAAATGTTTTGTACAGCAGTGTTAAATTGATGCTAATATGGAGAGAGACAAAAAGTTATGGAGAAATTATTTGTATTTAAATAATTTATTATTTTGTCTGGTGTCTCAGGCTTTTGCAAGACTTTTCAGTATAATAGCAGTAAGATTAATTTTTTTGACAGTTGAGCTCATTCTAGCTCTCTAAGCAAAATATCACACTCAGAAAATCAGACAACAAGCTGAAAAAACCTGGGGCTTGTGGGTTTGGTTTTTAGTGATTAATCTTGTGTCATGCCTTTTTATTTCTGAATAAAATACGTACTTCAGCATATTTTTATCTTTATAGTTTCCAAACAATCCTGTTTAGTTTCTCAGGTGTAACAAAATCACCTGATGGTCAATATACAATGCAGTTTTACTAGAAACAATTAAAAGTTGTCTTCCACTGACTAGAGACTGAGGGGAGGGCCAAAATTTCCAACAAAGGCTCCACCTCAGATATACTGCATAAGAATGTTGTAGTTACCCCAAGCATTGTCAGGAGAGTTTCAAGATGTTATCATTGTGACTGTAATGGTTGTCAGGTTGCAATCCTATATAAAAGACATTTTCAAAAAATTGCTGCTGCATATGCAGCCCCTTCTATTGGTCATTGACCTCTCCCACCCCGTGTCTCCTCTCCCAGCACTTCTATGAAAATCCCATTGCAATGAAAACCTTACACTCCTTCACAGAAACTTGCAACAGGCAACACCTTCAGTGTTTCAGACATGACTTCATAAATGAGCCAGGCTAGATAGCTTATGCTATGAGGGTCAATAAAAATTAATAGAGGAAAAAAAAACACAAAACAACAAAAAAAATGATTATGCACATGATTTAAAGAAAAGAAAATAAGATATCTGTAGTGCAACACACACAGAAGAAACTTCCGTTGTTGCTTCTTGCTATGAAAACAGTCATATGGTTGGAAGCAATCATATTTTCTGAGGAATATTTGCTACTAGCTTAGAGTAAATAGACAATAACTGAAAGAAGTCAGGCTTGTGTGACACACCACATTTTCTAAGCTACTGCAAAACCTCTTCTACTTAGTTCAATAGGTTTAAACTCACAGACACTCGGAAGTCTCACCAGAAGAACTGCACTTTGTGGCGAACACCTGGAGGGGACACAATCTTCACTACCCATTTTTACAGCTCCAGTATCAATCGACTTTGGTTACCAGTACCTTTTAAGCCACATTGTTTGTATCATTTTTTTTGCATACCTATGGCTGCAAGGGAGGGAGGACCTGGCCAGTGGTCTGTCTCAATCTTTGGTATCTCGTTGGGTGCTGGTGCATGAGCAGCTGGGAACTTGGAGGACTTGATGATATCCTCGGAGGACTTGCTCTGTGCTGCCAAAGCAGCTGCATCTAGATGGCAATCAGGGAACTTAGCTATGTAATAATCTGTATCAATATAAAGGTCTTCCTTATTTTGGCAAAATTTTGTACTTTACAAGAAATAAATTTTCAAAAGCAAAAATTTTCACATTTTGCTTTTTTTAACTGCAATTTGACACAAAGTCATATCTTTCTCTTGCCAATAGATCAGAATCAAACCTTCCTCTCCTCCCTCATCCCCATCCCCAAAATAATGCCAAATCAGCTTTGGAATTTACTAGGATTGCACAGTGTTAGAATGATTAGGCAAGAGTGAGAAAATTCAATCTAACAGTATTTGCTAATGTCTAAGGACAGCTGATTATTAATGAAGATGAAACCAGATTTATGTACCGATCTGTCTTCCTTCTAGAGCAAGGAAACATATAGTTCAGAGGAACAGCACTAATTTTAACTCTACTGATGCTAATTATTTCCTATTTTTCTGTGAAAAGCTGCAAAACAAACAAAAAAAGAAAACGGAAACAAATATGTTTATTTAACCAGTGGATTTTTTTTCTGCTGCATGCCCTTGCTTATTAGCATGCAGTAGTAGTAAAAGCAGATGTGACTTTATTAATAAATACTAAACTCCATTCAGACCAACTTGGCAGGGAAAGGCACTTGCAATGAAATGAACCTCACCAATAAAGTATCTCAGCAGTGGGGCATCCACTTAAGATTCCAGTCTAAGCCAAAGTCTCTTAAAAGCATGTGAGGATGTGCATTTATGGCTTTCACTTCTTGGCATTAAAAAAAAATAAAAATCTAATAGGATACAGTTTACATTAAAAGCAGCCTTAACTACCTCTTATTGCAAACTGTTAGCTCGAATCACCTTCTCTTATACGAAGCTATCGTATCAGAAGCAAGGATTCGGGACTTTTTTCCTTTTCTCCTTATTTTTAACAGAAAGACATCTGTAAATGAAGTGAAGCACTGTGTTGCTCACCCACTTCATTCAGGGTAGTTTAGAAACATCAGTATTAGATATCATTGGGAATTCTGAGCATTTTACGATTGGGAAATTCCAAGTATAATTGCAGGTATGGAGGAAGCTGGTCAGAGTTTACAAAAGCATGACTTCAAACAGTACTCACGTATTAGAATTGGTGATGTCAGTGGTTAAACATTCACATGTTAATGGGAGGTCAGGAGATACATTAAAACAATAAAATAAACAAAAATAATGTTAAGACTTTGTCAAAATAAGGATATGATTTGAAACTTAGAAAAAAAAAAGAGGAAAAAGCCCTTATGTAAAATCACAGCAGTGTTATTTGCAATGCTCACTCCTGACTAGAGAACAGACTTCCCAGGCTTTCCTAATCATCTCAGCTCTATGGCTCTCAGTCAACTCTTTATCTAAACCCTGCAGTACTGTTAATTTGTTACTTAACCCTAAATACATTTCAGTGCATAAAGGGTCTACAGAGGGATGCAAACCCAAAGTCTTTAAAAAGTGGAGTCACCCCTCTCTCACCGCATTACATAAAAATTGTCCCTTATTCAGGGTTTTCTATTCACAGCAGAACAAAAGAGTGAACACACCCTGTTATAACTGGGCCCCTGCTCTGCAGGACTAAAGACTGGCAAGGCAGTGGGCTTCTGCCATCACTGTTATTTCAGGCTTGCTATGACAACATCTATATTGAAAAAATTTGAGCACTAACGCTGCTGTCCAACTCCGAATTCAAACATCTGGAAAAACAAGTACAGCACACTACCTGAGCTTAAGAACCAAATTAGCCCTGTCAGTGATATCACCTATATATAATCTTCAATAATAATCTGAGAGTTGTAGAACACTGGAACAGGTTGCCCAGAGAGGTGGTGGATGCTCCATCCCTGGAGATGTTCAAGGCCAGGTTGGATGAGGCCCTGAGCAACCTGATCTAGTTGGAGATATCCCTGTTCCTTGCAGGGGGGTTGAACTAGATGACCTTTGAAGGTCCTTTCCAGCCCTAACCATTCCATGATTCAATAATTAAAGATTCTTATTTGAAGCCACAGGTACATTTGGAATTCCAGCCTGATAGTAACATCTCCACCTTTGCTATTGAAATAAATTATTGTACTTTGCCTGTTTAAAATAAGGATATTCCATCAAGTCCCTGTCAGAGAACAGTCTGCTGCTAATCCATTTTAACACAATCAGTACCTGTATTCTGAAAATATCAAATTAAAGTGAAACACAAGAAGGCATCAAAATGCTAAAGAGACAGCAAAATCCCAGTTAATGGCAATTTTGCCATTAACCTCAACGTGGCCAAGATTTAAACCATATGATCCAAATGAA